TTTAATATTCTTAGATGAACTGTTTAATAAAAATATCATACAAAGTGGCATTGATTCAGATTCAATGGATCAATTAGAACGTAAACTTAAACGATATAAATCAGAAATTGAATCACTGTCTAGCAGAGGAATTGGTATGAAGTTTAAAAAAATCAATAAGATTTCTTTATTTTTAAAAAAAATGTTTATCTCAAATAGGTACAGATAAACTTAAAGACGAATTATATGAAGCAGTTTATACAAGTCGTTATTTACCAATAGAAGATCATAAAAATAAATCATTTCATCAACTTTTATTACGTCTCTATGGATCAAATCAAGTAACTGAATTAGCAAAAATTTGTACAAAAGATGTGTTAGAAGCTAACAAAGATCGTGATCATGCAAATGATATTAGAAAACGTGATGAAAGAATCGATGAACTTACTCATATCAATAAGGAATTAAATGAAGAAATTGAACGACTTAAAGCAACAATTGAAGCAGGAAAGAAACCAGCATGGCGTCCTGTACCTGCATCAATTCCTGCAGCACGTGATCCAGGTAAAAATCGTCAAGTATTAAAACCATCAAGTATTCAACCTGGAACAAAACCTGGACCTACTTGGTGAATTTATATAAACACACCATTTAAATATTGATCTGGTGTTAATATTTTTTTCTTTTCTTTTCTTAACAAAAATAAAAAATAACTAAATTTTAATTTCTTTTTGCTCTATTTATTAATCAAGTTTTGTGTATAGAAGAAGAAGAAAACAAAATCTTTTCTCTGTTAATTGCTTAAACGACAATATCGTTAAGATTGATCAATTGTCATTGAATAGTAAATAGGCAAACTTTCGTTCATTATTATAAGTATTAAATAATAGATGTACGTGAGCGTAAGCAATGAATTCATTTGTTATTTGAATATTCAATCGATCAAATTTCTAATTAGTTCTATGCATGTATGAGTCAGAATAAACTTGTTATATTTTGATAAAGAGAGAGGGAAAGAGAGAAAGGTTTCATAGAACAGGGAAATCATTAATAAAAGACGACGAAATAAGTGGGAAGAGAGAAAAAAAAAAGAGAGAGAAATAATGAAGAATATTTTATTGAGGAAACATCGGTAAACAATAACAATTGTATATCTACGTGTGTTTTAAACAATAAGAAACGCAGACAGCTAACGAACAATCCAAATATATTTCTCCGACAACGACCAGGTAATGATGAATGACAGCCTTTAGAAGAGAAAAGTTTCTTTTTTTTCAAATATAAATGAATTTCTCATTTTTTGTCTATATTCGATGAAAAGTAATAATGACACTGATTTAATTTAGAACCTATTTTTATAACAATAAAAATATACTATCTTTCTTTTTGCTTTCTTTTTAGATAAGCCTTCCATATACAAAACAAACGATCATGAATTCAATCACTATTTTCACCGGTGTTCTCAGTTGTCTTCTATTTATGGTGAATATTTCAATCGTATTTTGCTAATAAATATATATATATGTATTTGTATTCTAGCTAGCTATTACTCATTCGTTTGCATTAGCAGGTCAAACAGCCGATGAACAACAACATCATTTACTTATTGAACAACCATCGGTAATTTTACCAAAACGATATTTTTCATTTTATCATAATGATGATGATGCAAGTAATGATGATTCGGAAGTACATGAATTTGAAAAAACGTCGTTTCAATGCCTGGGCTGGTAAACGAAGTACCTTTGGCAAACGACGTTTTAATGCATGGGCTGGCCGACGATAGACAACTCTCATTCATATACATTTACTTTTCTTCTATCTCTCTCTTACATCAATAAATTAAAACTAATAAAAACAAATCATCTAGTAAATAATCTTTCTACTGGAAAAGAAAAAAAAACGAAGAAAAGTTGTAATAAATACAAACCAATTTGTCTTTTTATTTATTAATAATTCATTACAAAATTCTCCTCTTCTCTTTCTTTATATCGCTGTTATACGTTTTTGTTGTCCTGGAAGGTTAACGAGATTGAACACAATATAAGAATGTATACAAAGCAAAAAAAACATAAAGGCACAATTACTGCAAAATAACTAAACAAAAACTCCCATTGAGATACATAGACATAAACTCGAAGTGATTAGCAATGACAAAATACACATCACTAGTATATATATGTATATATGTATATAGAATTATAATAATAATAAAAAAAAAAGAAAGAAAAAAAAGAAAGAAAAAAAAGAAGAGATTTTATACAAGAACAAAACAAAAAATAACTTGTTATTATAGCTATAAAGGAAGCGAGAAAAGGATTAAATCACCGTTGTTGAGCAGATCCGTAGAAAAGAAAATATGCATGTGTTTTAAATATAAAATGATGAGATTCATTAATAACATCCTTCATTCCATGATGATGTAGGTGAAACAGTGTCCGGAATTTGTGGCCGTGTGATTGATGCTGGTGCTCGAATATTTCGAGTTGCCATCATACTATCCGATGATTGTGATGAGGGAATTGCATTTGATGTCGATGGTCTAATTAAATAAAATATTATAGTTTAATTGAAAAAACACAAGAGCATCATGCGATTAGTAATTCTAAATTAGTTTTTTTTTTGCGTCTTATACTCGTGCCTGTTTAAAATCCATTGATCATTGTCCGTCGTGATGAAAGAGAATGATGGCTGAAAACAACCATCCATCAAAACAAAGCAAGCAAAGCAAAAAAACTCTATTATTGAAATCTTTACATACCGTGTCGGAGTAGGAACACTTGGTCTTTGTTGTTTACCAATTGTTGGTATTCCACTTTTTCTACCTTGACTTAATGTTGATGAACTACGTGGAA